ATCAGTAACATATTGTGAGATCTTCAAATAAAAGTCTCAAGGAAATGTGAAATGTTAGTACTTATATAGAAACAATATCTTCTAGAATCTTTACAGACATATGTGAAGACCCAGTCAGTTTATAATCTAAGGGTGATTTAAAGACTTGTATAAATGGCAGGATGTTATAATTGTGTTGATCAGGTTATGAATAATACTAATTTCAAACTGTAAGATACCAAAATAATCACACAATTAGTCTAGTATGAGTCTAATATTCAGGAAAAAAAAAGTATAAATCTATGCTCCTATATCTGTAGGTAGATGCACAGGTATTTATATTTGTTGTTTACTGGAAAGCCAAACATGACTGCTGTTCAAATGTTTACAATGCTACTTTTCTTACTTTTGTTGAGTTTTACCATGCTTTGTTCTTAGTCTACTTTTCTGGAAACAAAACACATTTTAGACAATCTATCTGTGTACCATTATCCCTTAGTAACCTTTGGAATAGGTATATCCTACCAAAATTAGGGTATCAAGGTCTCAAAGCTAATTTATTGATTTGGTAATTTCCTTAAAATTATATTCTGATAATTTGATGATTATCTCTTTGATATTTCTTTGATAACTACCTCAAAGAGAATTTTTTTCTGTTAGGTCAGAGAAGAGGTTCCTAACAAACTAATTAAAATGGTCAACCAGGAAAAAAGATTCCCCATAAACGGTCCAAGGGAGGGAAAGGCTGCAAAGTGAAGGTCATCAAAGATTCAGTACAAGAGAAGGGTCTTGTAAATGCTCCAGTGGATTCAATCAAAGTTCTTAGACCTGAAACAACTGCACAAACTAAATCCATGGGAAAATTGTTGTTGTTCCATCTATAGTACTTGATGGTTCCCATGCTCAAGTGAAAACAAAAAGGTGCTAACTTTTTCTTTATTTAAAACAAAGCATTTCAAGACTGCATAACTGTGGAGAAAAGCTTTGCAAAGATTGATCCTTGAAGTTTTGAAAACATAATAATTAAAACAATCACAGTGCCCTCTTAAAAAGAGCTGCTGGTTTTCTTACTCACAATTGAGGTTGCAATACCAACAATTTCTATTAGGTACTTTATTTTTAATGTAATTTCAGAAAACTCTTTATTACTTCTGGTAAAATTCCTGGAGAATTTTTTTTCAAAAGATAGGAAAAGTTAAATAGGGCAGAAAAGCCATGATGACCTTCTGTTTGAGCATTATAATATGTTGGGGGGTTTCTGTGTTGTTGTTTGTTTCTTTTTTTCTGTCTCTGTGGTGCCTCTGCCACATCTGTGGTCATGGGAAGATTTAACAGAAGAAATTACTGTGATGCTTGAGTTGACATAGTAGGACGGTCCCCCAGCAGACCGATGGGACCAGTTACTCCAGTGCAAAACAGAGCAGCTAATTTGGCTTGGGAATTGAACCTAATTTTGCTATGAGGCAGATCTAAAGCTCTCACCCAGTTGTAGGTAGTAGACCTATACAAAGGCAAAATGCTTTAAAAGCCTTGGCCTAAGGCTGCCAGAACTCATTTTACCTTTGCCTAAGGCTGGTACCACGTAGGAATTCTTTAATAATTTACAAAAATTGTGACTGAACAATCATGCCAACCCACAGGTCAGTCTCATGACTCATGATTACCAAAAGCATTTGCAGAAAGTTCCATGTCATCCTGTTACCTCAGATTATCCTCTTTTAGTGCCTTTGCTATGATACTAAATCAGTACTACGTAAGCAGGTTTCAGATTTTTCCAATCTTCTATTTTCCCTTCCTACTCTGATCTATACTCATGAATCCTGATGACCCCGTTCACTGTCACCAAATAACTGCCTTTATACATGAGAGGACTAGAAAAATGTGCTTTTCTGTGGCAAAAAAAAAACACCCTAATTTTTAAAGGTGATCCCTGCAGGTTTGGGATTAGAAGTGCAGGGAGCAGGACGTTGATGTACAGAGCTGTCTCTGCTCCACCTCTGGAGCTGCCAGTCTGTCCCCTTCTGCTAGGGCCAATCTTCCCTGCTTAAGAGCACAGCTGCTCGGCATGCTGACTGTTCAATCGGCAATGATCTCTAGTTTCAAGTATGACAGCACCGACCTGCTCAGTCTCCATTCAGCCGCAGGTGGGGGCAGCGGAAGAGAAAGGGAGGGAGGGAAGGAGAGGGAGGACACTGCAACCTACGTGAATAATTGATAGTGCAAGGAAAGGAGAGCAGCTGGGTTCCCTGTCTCCATCTGCTCACCAGCTGGGGATGAGAGATCCTTGCTCAGGTAGGGGATGAACAGCTTAGCTGCTTTTATTCTCGTCTTGCCTGCAATGCCAATTAAAAATATTTTACATCTAGAAGGAACGGGAGCAAAGATAGCTGGGGGAGGGTTGATCAGATCTTCTCTGTTGCTTGTGTGGCATTGTGTAATGGATGGACTTTGGGGCAGTTTCAGCCTCAGCAGGGAAAGTGTTTGTGTGCTTTTATAAGACATTGTGTATATATATATATACTGCATTGTGTAGAGAAGCAGTTGGAGAGAGAGAAAGGGAGAGTGAAGCTGGGGAGAGCAGATGTCTGTGTAGGAAATGAAACAAACTGAAGGGATGAAGGGGCATGAAAGAGGGTCTGTCCAGACTCAAAGGAATCCCACCCTGATTCTGTCAATCTTGGACATAAAAAGATGGGTCCAAGTGCGCAGCGGGAGGTGCTGTCTGTGCACAGCCGGTACTATATATAGAAGCTGTGTGCATAGATCTGTGGAAACAGTTAATGTGAAAACGTGTATGTTTTCTATCTGTGGATGCATCGATGAGTTTGTGTAATATTGTAGTAAAACATTTAAAAAATACAGTTTTTAGCCTGAAGAGTTTACCCTTGAAGGATATGCTGCTGTGTTTATCTGGTACTGCGCAGCTTCTGTGGAGCTCCTGATGTTCTCACAATGACTCAATTAATAAAATTGCAGGGACTAGTTGCTGTGTTACAGCTAGTACAGACTTTTCCCATGTGAGCACGATAAAATGCTAATGCAGTTAAACAAATGAAAAACTTCTGCTAATAAAAACTGGAAAAATACATAGCAAAAGGTGTAAACACCAATTACTGTAATACATGTATTAACATAGCTACATGGATATCTGAAAAATCAGAAAAGTGTATGCCAGTCCCTAAAACACACAATAACTCTAATATGTATAATGACCTATGCAACTATAGACAAATATATGGATTACAATCTGAGACGGTAAGTACACGGAATTAGTCATATCAGAATGCAACTACCAATAGGAGCTGAATCTACTTAGTACAACTCAAAGCTTATATTTAGTGATATTGTTGCATCAGCAGGGTAAATAGTAACAATCATTAGCTTGATTATAAGTTGAGGAATAGAAAGGGGTCCTGTGATTTGCTTGCATGCGATTTATTCATACCATTATTGCTAAAGGAGGCTAATTAGAACAGTAATTAAGGTATTTAATAATTGCTTGCTGGTTTGCTTGTGTATCTTGAGGGCTTTGTACACCACTGGAGTTGCACAGAAGGTTAGGTAAAGCTATGAGACAGTTAAGTGAAAGCTGAGCCCGGTGTGGCTTTGAATGTGAACAAAGTTGGCTCTTGTCTGTAGTGGCAAGCTGCCAAAGAGCAAGAATGGCAGAAAGACCTGGGCCTCACTGTATACTTTGCTTTCACGATGGCCAGGCTTGCTAGTGCTGCTGATAATGACCCTGAGATGGGGAGGGCAGTAGTTACTGCTGGCAGCCCTCTCTAGCAGCAAAAAATAATGTCTCTTCCTCCTTCCTAGATGCAGCAGAAATGGCAAGCTTGGCTCTTTGCCTTGTCCCAGTCACATCTCTTCTCAGAGATTCAGGTGAATGAGTAAGAACTGCTTGTGCTGCTGTGTTCAGTGCTCTGGGTCCATCTGGGAGGCATTTGGACTGGAGCAAGGACGTAGGTTGTATAAGTTAGCCAATACTCCAGCATCACATCTTCTGGGGAAAAAAAAAGAAATAGACAAGAGGAAATGGAATCACTTGGACTCCATGCAAGTTACTAAAAACAGCAAGTAGTCACTCTCATTGTCTATTCAAAGTTGTCACCTGCTTTGATTCCTTACTCCTTGCAGTCTCTTTTCTCACCCACAAACCCTTGAAGCCCCCCCATAATCATTTCTATCCAGATATTTTATGAGTAGAATTTATAGGAAGCATTAGGATGAAAATGCTGCACTCATCCCTAAACCTTTGATGTAACTGCTTGCTCTCTATTTTTCTTTTTACTTCCCCCCCCCCCATCTATATCAATTATCTCATATTTCTGTCTGATTTCTCTGCATTCTATTTGTACTCTTCCTTTGCATCTTTTCCTTTCTCTCTGGCTCCTCTGCAAATTCTCTATTCTGTTTCCCTATGTCCCCTTCACGAGTCAGAACAAAACCAGTGTGAGACTGACACTTGGTGTAAGGTTGTAGCTGCTGCTTTTAAAGGCCTTGATGTAAAGAGGAAACATTACATCATCCTATGGAATTAAATTGAGAATCAAAATTTAAAAAAAAAAAAACTGTCCAGAAGAGCTCTGTGTTCTCATTTAAACACAAGTATGTGCATACTCTTGCAGTGGAAGGGCATCTTGCCACGCTCAATTTTTATCAGGAACGACAATCTATTGAGTGAATGCAAACACATGTGATTAAGGGGTTTGTGATTCCTCAAAATTTGAGCTTCCTTAGTTTACATGTTAGATTAGTGATCTATTTCATAAGTGGCTTAGAGCCAAATCTCTGTAGTACTTGACATATGCCAAGTATGCCCACTCCAAATGCCATGGGCTAGTGGATTTAGTATCTTCTTACCCTTCCCTTGAAAGGAATCGACATATATATGGAGCCTTGGTGCTCACTTTCCCCACTGTATACTGAGAGCTTGGGGAAGTGATCTTGCTTTACAGCAGAGTTGAAAAAGAGACCCTTCTGCTCTCCCTGTCTAACACTGTACTTGTCTTACCATCACGGACGACCCGAGGAGCATCCCCGGCTCGGCTGTCCCAGCAGCTGCTCCTGCAGTATCCGTGGACTCCCCACAACGGAGGGCTCTAGGGGGAACTCATTTTCCACGGCGGAGGAGGGGCAGGAGTCACCACCCCATCCCCCTTTATCTCATCTTCCTCCATCCCTCCTCCTCGTCCTTCCCTGAGCCGCTGCCCGCCGGGGCCCGGTGCCGGCCGTGGGAGTCCCTTCTCTTCTCTCCGGTGAATCCCGGCCCGGGAGGAGGAGGAGGGGTGGGGGCGGGAGCCGCGGCTTCGCGGGGGGCCGGGAGGGAGCCCGTGCCCTTCTCTATGGCGAGGCCGGGGAATAGCAGGCTCCCGAGGAGGGAACCCGGGAGCTGACTCAGCGGAGCAGTGCAGCATGTTTTCCCGGGAGCATGGCTTCCCTGCCGGAGCCTGCGGAGGGTAGGTACCGGGACCGGGAGTGGTGCCGGCGGCCGCGGGGCCTGGGGCCTTGCCTTTCCCAGGCAGCCCGGGGACAGGGCAGGGCAGGGCAGCGGCTGCCGGCGCTTGGGGCGCAGTGCTGGAGCAGCAGGAAGAGCCCTCGCGGGTTGCCTGGAAGGGCGGAGAGTGGAGAAGGGGGAAGGCGATGGCTGTTCCCCGGCCTGGCAGGTCCAGATCTGGCTGAGGGCCCGGCGCTCCCTCTTCCCTTTCTCCCTCCCTCCTGGCCCCGCTCCGGCCGGGGGAACGCAGGCGATGAGGCGGCAGCGGGTGCTCCGCTCCCCGGAGGGAAAGAGAGAGGCTCGGTGGGCTCTTCTGCCGCCCTGGGAATGGGGAAGGTCTCTGGCTGGGACTTCTCAGGAGCTGGGAGCGCGAGATAAATTTCCCTATAGAGTTCTCCTTTCTCCTGCCCCGCAGGGCAGTACCTGGTGGGCAGAGAGAGCTGGCCCTCCCGATACCCTGCCCATCTTCTTTGCGGCTGCACGAAGTCCTGAGCAGAGGGTATGGGCAGCCCACAAGTGGGAACAGTGGCCTCCACGCGAGGGGCAGGAACTGGGGGGAGTGTGGCTGGAAGTGAGGTTCCTCACTGGAAATCGTGGTCTTACGAGCAGAAAGTTTGTGACCACCTGAGAGCAAACCACATCTCATCTGTACTGATTGTTTCCGTTTCCTAGTTCTGTACAGTAATTCCTTGAGTTTTATGAATCTGTGTGTAAGCAAATTTCAAAGCTGTACAGGTGCTTGAAGGTGGGGCTATCCGTGTCACGTTTTCAGGTGTCTTCACTGAAGACAAATAATCACAATCAATCATATTTGGTAGACCAAATGTGTCTATGAGGGAGAAACGAGAGAGAAAGAGCAGAAGCTGTTGCTCACAAGAAGTGGTTGCTCAGTATTTCCCTTATGAGTATTTCAGGCCTGCTTTTGTTTCACATTCCCTTCAGTTCTTCTGAATTGCCTACCCCTTCTAGTGAGGGATTTAAAACACATATTAACGTCTCACTATCCTATCAGGCTGTGACGCCAGTTATTTTACTGACTGTCGTTCCATAGATAGCTGCAAATCATGCTGTAGTATTTCTCCTACTGGAAGGCTTCCAGTTTAGCAGAAGTATTTACGATAGCTATACACTTGCTTCCCTGTGAACTTCTAGGAAAATAGTTACCTGAGGATTTGGGGCACTTGTCTTTTAGAGTGCAGTATATCTCCTTTACCTCTGGAATACTTATGAAAGGATGTATGAAATTCTGTCAAGTCTAATTAGTATGTTTCTTAGAACAAATATTTGCATTGACTTGGTTCTTGAACTGGTTCAGCTGAAGCAGATAGCAACGATTTTGAGAGCTGTACAGAGGGATCCAAAGACTGAAATAACAGGATGCTGCAAGACAGGAATACAGGGCCTGAGCAGAGTTGTGTGTGTGTGGAGATAGTGGCTTAGAGGTCTGCAAAGGTGCTTCCAACACTATTTCAGAATGGAGAGTGGAGTCTTTGGCAGTGGATCAGCGGTACCTATGTTTAGTTTGGCTACCCACTGGAAATTAATGCACTGGTTAATGTCAATAGCAAAATCCTACTTTAGACTTCAGCATTTTCCAGGCCCTTTGCCTCCCCTAGTTGCCGTTTCCTAAAAATATACAACTATACATTTGCACATAAATATTCCACTCCCAGATTCCAGAATTGCTTTTCTTTTTCAGAAGGATGATATTCTTCTTTTCTGTGGTCAAAGAGTTTGAAGTTCCAGTTTGAAAAGAAGTATGTTCTCTAGTAAAGCTCAGTGCTTTTCATTCCAGAAGTTAAAAAATCACAAGTAGGTTTTCAAGCAGTAGTTAAAATGGCTCCACATTTTTGTGACATTTTATAAAAGATATAATGAAATCCAAGTAGTCAATTTCTAAAGTCTGTCGGCACATTCCTAATCTAGGATAATTACAGAATTTTTAACATCTCTTAAGTGTATGATAAGAGTGATGATTTTGGTCTCTGCTGGACTCTTTTTGACAATAGAACTGTATTAGGATTCAACAGTAAAGGAGCAGTTGCTGCACAAAATTCTCCAGTCAGTCCAAAGTGTAGAGATGAATTTATGGTGAGAGAACAGGGGTAGTACTGGACAGAGTGATCTCATGTAGGAGCTGCCAGATTTCCATGATGCAGGTGTGTATTTAACTCTTGACTGAATGATTCAGCATTCAACCCAGTGACATGCCAAAGAAAACACTGAAGCATGCAACAAGGCCCCAGGGCATCCAGTTGCATAAAAAGTTCAACTATTACATTTCTTTCCGAAAATGAGAATTTATCAAATTAAGCTCTTACCTTTTTAGGGCTCACAGAATTGAAACTTCAGGTTTTTAAAAGAAACAATGAAGATCATTCTTGTACTGCCTTGGACATATAGTTTGCTCATCCCAAGTAAATGATAAGATGATGAATAAAGCATGTATTAGTATAATATTAATATTCATTTAAAATACATTTGCCATCAAGTTATTTCAATATTTATTTAGGATTGTTAAGACAAACTCCTACATCTTCCCTCCCAGATATTTTATGGCTTTAATCTCTACATGCATTACACAGATCTCTCTCATCTCCAGTTTTATGATGTGGGATGGAAGCATTGTGTTGCTTTGTGTAGATGAGCCTATATGCAAGTTATGTGATGCCATTGGGCCACTAAAATAAATTGTGAATTGTCAGAGCATGGGTGAGCATTATGATTCTTGGAGCTTGTGATAGAGTAGCTTCATGATTACAGAAATATGTTATACCTCCAACTGCTGAGCAGTAGGATTGACCCAACAGCAGAAAGGGACCATCCAGAGGGATCTGGACAAGCTCAAGAAGTGGTCCCGTGGGACCCTTGTGAAGTTCAACAAGTTGAAGTGCAAGGTGCTGCACCTGGGTCAGGGCAATCTCAGACATGACTACACAAGAATAGTATGTATGTCTTTTGAACTACAATGCGTTATTTGTGTTGTATTTTATTTCCTCTTCTATGAAATCAAATGTAGTGCTGCTGCTGTTTGTACACACTACTGCTCCAGCAGGGGCCGTAGTAATAATATATTTTCCATAGCAGGTGGGTAGGCAAAAGCCCACCTAATCTGCACTCTGACTTTACTGGCAGAAGTAACACAGAACCGTGCCTGCATCTCTCCTGCAGGGTGTATCAGTTCTGATCTCACGCCAGCTCTGTTATGCTCCTGTCTTGGAGACTTAATTCTCAGGCTGTGGCAACTGGGGCTGTCCTTTAGATGTTGATTTTGGTGATATTTCAGAACTTTCATCTCTTCTAATATGGTTCCAAAATCTGAACACAAAGCTGCTTGTGAGACCTTATGATTCTTTAGTCTGCTGCAAATCCATGATGGAAGAGGAACTTGGCAAAGACAGACCATTCAGCACTTACATGACAGTTGTGAGGAAAATATTGTGTGTGAACAGAGACAGAGCAGTCAGGGCCAGAAGATTTTTGCTGTTATATCCAGGATGTTTGCAGACGGTAAGTGGTAAATTATCTCAGGGATTCTCACAGGAAATGACAGCTTCCTCATAAGTAAGAAATGATCTGGGAAGAGAAATAGTAAGCAGAAGACAAAGGAGACACTGCAGGCAAGCGCTGGCGTCTTGAATTCTCTAAGTGTTAAAACTTTTTTTCTTCTTTTTTTTCTTTTTCCTTCTGCCTCTGTCTGTTACAGGAGGTCTGAGGAAGAGGTAGTGCAGTGTTTCAGCGATGTTATAGACACTCCCACTGAAGGCTTTCCATGTGCCCTCACTCCAACTGTCCCCAACAAGGTAAAAGTCCGTGTTCCTCTGGCTGAGGATTGGAGTGTGCTTTGAACAAAAGTTATGTGTGCAGAAGGAATGACTAAAATCAAGCTCGTGTGCATGTGTTTCTTAGAGCTATAGTAGTCTACTTCTGTGAGAATCCTAAACTTGTTCATTTAATCAGTTCTTATGCCATACTATACCAAGTCAGCATGACCCATTGAAAGACAGAAATTCCTGATACCTGTCTGACCAGGTTTCAGGTCAAGCTTTTGCAACACAAGCTGAAGACAATTTGGCCAGTTGTTCTGTCCATTTTATCAGTTCTAAGGAAGAACAATTCCATCATATCTTTTGGTGAGCAAGTAACATGGAAGAAACTCCTTCAATATCTGAGAAACAACAGAAGATAATGTTAGCTTCTTCAAATGTTTAATTATTTTCCCCTCTTGTCTTTTCCTTTTCAGACTGTGGACTTGTTTGAGATGATTGAAAAAATGCAGGTAAGGAGAAGTAATTCTGTCAACTTTTGGGATCTCTTGATTTTTTTATAGCCAAACAAATAAGCAGCTGCCATTTGTCCCATCACTTTACTCCCAGTGCCTTTTAATTTGGGCTTGCAGAATGTTTAGGTTGTCTGGGCTCAAGCTCCTATGCCTGCTCTTCAATGGGATTTCAAAAGTGTTTTTCCATGTTTGTCTTACCCAACCAACATGATGAAAGCAGTAGACACAGATTATTCTAATTTTGTATGTTCTTTTCAGAAGTGTAATTCTGAGAGAAAATCAACGTTGCTTAAGGTATCTCTGTCATCTTCTCCAGAAAACTGTGTTTCTGCTGGGTAGCAGGTACTAATGACAGGTGATTAATTGGTTGTTGACCTAACTGCATTTAGCAAGGTCAAACAGTTTAATAAATAACTACGGTAGGCCCTATCTTTGACTTGTGCAAGATAGAAGGACTCTGCCTTAAGTTTTATATGGAAATAGATGCATTTAGTTGCATATATTATGTTATAAAATTAAAATAGGGCAGAGTTAGGTTTCTTTCCCTTTTTAACTGTATCAAACATAAAGAAATAGTAATATAGTAGTATGTTATATGTGTTAAATATATAACAATGAAGTCTTTAATTTTTTCACGTTGTCTGTTCTCAGAGCATCCTTGCAAGCTGCCAATATTTTGCCTGAGTGGTGCACCTTCTTTAAAATGCCGTGGTTAATCTTGACCTAACATAACGCACAACATGGCACATAATTCCTGCCTTTTATTATGTGCAGGAATTAAACTTATCAAAACCAATTAACTTCTCTTCTGGTATTTGAGTGATCAAATTATGAGTATGAGAAAAATGCAAGACTTCAGTGGGACCATAAAGGTGAGGAGGTGAAAGGTAGCAGCAAAATGCTGAATATAGATTATGAGCCTGAGGTACTGTTTGGCAGACCAGAAAGGAGGAGTGAGGGAGGGAGGGGCTGAAGGTATATCTGCTATATATTCGTGTTAGACAGACACAGGCCTTGTAACCACTGTACTGACATTCAAACTATGTTTGGAGTCTATTCTCAGTGATTTAGAATAACAAGCTCTGTAAGTGTGCCTGGCTCATTTAACTCTGTGCCGGAAAGTAAGCTTGAGCATGCAGTGCTGCTTCAGTTCAAACTCATGTTAAAAGGTGTGACAGTCCTTTTTAGTCCTTTTGAAATCTGTAGAGAGAAGAGTCAATATCAGATGTCCCTTACTGGAAGACTGTTGTTTAAGATTCTCAGTGTTTCTCAGCTCCCAGTTTACCATATGAGAAGTCTCTGACTGGATTTGCACCTTTTTAGTTAGATAACATAAACCTGATAAGAATTTCCAACATATGCAGACCGCTTAATTTTGCATCTGTGTTGTTTTCTTAGCTGCCCATTGTTAAGACTGTATAGTAGTTTGTTTTTTTCTAATTTAGCTTGTTTTGTCATCTGACTTGCACTAGAATTAATACTTGCTGTGTGAGCATGACAGAAGTTTTTTGAAAGACGAGAGATGTTTTCCAAAAGAAAAAACTCCCTTGATATTTTGTTTTAATATTTATTGTGATTTTTCTTTGTATTTTTACTAATTTATAAATTAATTTTTTTGTTTGGTTGGTTTTTTTGCTTTCTCTTTCCATTTGACTCTGACAATCCTTTAGATTTGTTGAATCAGTCTTGAAAATGAAATGTGGGATTTTCATTAGCAGTCAAAGTGAGTAAAAAGCAAAGCAGGAGACTTGAACATTTCTCTTGTAGAATAACAACAGCAAAGCTACAGGATAGAATTGATTTTTGAGTATTTTAACAATTGGTTTGGAGACTAATTGCATTACTGACAATTAGCATAGCCATTTTGTATTGTGTGTGATGAATTAACAGGTAAAGTTGTGCTCTCTTTTTAAAGTGAAACCGAGCCCCAAGATCTGGGAGAGACGTTTGCCTTTTTTTTTCTTTTTCTTTTTTTCCTTTCAATTTTAGTTGGACTTGGAAGTAAATGGGCTATTGGCCACTTTTTTCCATGCTTCCAGATGTAGTGAAGTCACAGTAATCGCTTTGTTAAGGACACATGGTACTATGTTGTTCCTAGATTGCTTTGCAGTGCAAGTATTTGAAAAACAAGAAAGTTTTATTTCAACCAGTAAACCCAGATTTTTCATGTTTGCATAGCCAATCCCTCTTGACTTAACTGCTTTTGTTCACTACCTCTGTTCTGCATTATTTTTTAGTTTTTGCATATTTTTTCAGTCTTATTTTCTCACAGCTACTGTCATGTTTTTTCGTATCCCCTTTTGTATCCAAGTTGTCTGTTTTGTACTAGTCCCCTCAAGACACGCCTTTTTCCCTATGAAAAATATGACTGTAGCATTGTTATGCCATGTTGGACCGGCCTCTGGGTCTGGACAGTTTCTTCTCTGCCATTCATTCTCTCATCTTGCTCAGGCCAGGTGTTTCCCCTGTACAAGACCTTGGGAATATCAGATTCCCAGGCTGATGCTGTCTTCAGTAGGCCACCCAGGGAAACAGTGAGGAAAAGCCTTTCCTTAAAGGCAGTAATGCAAGCCAAACTGGACCAAAACCAGAAGGATATCTCAACCAGTGGCTGATGACAGTAATCATCAATAAATTGGTCTGCCCATGCTCTGACACTTCCAATAACTTATGTTGTATATTTCCTGCAGTTACCCCTTAAAATAAAGCTTTGCCCATGGCACCATTAGATCTTTGCCAGTATTTTAAGCTTCACTCTAAAGGAGAGGTTAGTAGATTTAGATCTTTGTCTTCTACTCCCCGACTACCAGGAGCTCCCTTAACAGTGCAGAGTCATGGAATGTGCTGGTACATTCTTCTGCTCTCTGCAGAGGATACAACAGCAGCTTTTTTACAGCAGATCAGGAAGTTTTCCCTCAGGCCTTGCTGAGATACTGGTCTCCTACCAGGATCTCCTTTGAAACTGGAAAGTTTTTGCAGTTATCAGATCTGTCAAAAATGAGGGGAGACAAATATTAGAAAATTGCAGTTTCCCAATCTCCATTTCCATGTGCGGAAATCCCGTGGTGCACAGCAAGTTTGTCCCAGTACTTTCCAGAGTTAGTTGCAGAAGGCTGTGGCTGCTTTCTGTGTATGGCCTGGTATTTTGTTGTTCATTTTGTTTGCTGTATAGTAATAGCACAATTCAAAACAAGTCCTCTGAAGTTTCCCTATGAAAGGTTCCAAGCTGGTATTCGTTTAGAATCCCTGGTTGAAAAGACAAATGGGGCAGGTGGGTGGTGATGGTATAACTCTCTCAAAGCTCAGCTTTTGTAGTTTGATCCTGTGTCACTCTGTAGATACTATTCAAAGCTGCTTTCTCATAATACAGTTAAGGAATTCAATTTTGTTTTCTATTTTGTTGTCTCCTGATTGTTCCTTGCATGCTGTACTGTGTTTCTATCTTTAATCAACTAAAATTTGTTGTTACTGCTCCTTTTTGTGATTGAACTCGAATTCAAACTTAGGAAGAATGACCTCATGCATCTACTACTAGTTTCCCTTACCCTGGAGTTTAGCCATGCTGTTTTACTTCTGGTTTTCCTAAAAGTTTTTTTAAGATGTTAAACATTTGTTGTGAGCTCAAAGTCTGTCTCCTTGTCATTTCATTAAGGTTTAGCTTTTTTTAATGACTCTTTTTTATGTATTTTCAATAACCTTTCTCATTTTTCCAAAGCCTCATTTTTATGTGAAATAGATGTCTTGGGAGTTGTTTCCTTTTTTTTTTTCTCTTTGTTGCTCCTGCAAGGAGCACCCTGATTATTAATAATCCTCAATGTAAGGTTGCTGTTTCTTAATGTCACTGTTGTTGCTGTGATAGCAGTTTTTGCACCCTATACAGATGGAACATTGGGCCAAAACTTCTGCTCTTAAGCCTCCTAAGTTTCCACTGTAGAGCTCTTCTGAGATTTACGTATTTCTACCAGAATCTCATTTAAAAGCTAGTTCCACTGTAGAATACGTGCATAGGCATAGCTGTTATAAATCACATCCTGCTTATTTTCAAAACACAGTTGAGAGCTGCCTATCCTGTCTGGAATCCCTCATTAGCCACTCCATTAAGCAGTCGCTGATGGTGTATAAAAATGTAGTCTCAGCATCATGTTCTGGTATGAGAGTTACAAGATTTAGGTGGCAGTAGTTGAATACTCATGTATTGTGTGTAAGAGAAAGCTTCAACTTAAATCCTGGTTTTCAGGTTCCTGTCTGACAATGCAAATTTTGCCTCTTACTCTTCTGTCTGTGATGCCCACTTGGACTATGACCTGTTGACTGCCCATCTCTTTTTTGCTTCTTCTGTGCTGGGCCTATGCTCTGTGTTGGGGTTATTCTCAATTAAATTTTCCTGTTCTCATGGGCTTCTGCTGCAGAGGTGTGGTGGAAGTGAGCTCCTTTGCCATGGTGAAAAGGCAGAGGATGGAATAACCTTAAAGAAAGAGAATCAAGTCTGGATGCCAGCTCCTGATTCAGGAAGAAACAGGCATCCAATAGCCTTTTGCCTTGCAATTCCAACCCACCTTATGGTAACGGTGCCTGGAAAAGCAGATGTACATGGTTTCACTGTGTGGCTCCTTTTTGCCTTCAAGAGTCTGTTGCACTAGTCAAATGTTTGGATGGAGAGCAGCTCTGATTTTCTGCCAAACCTCCAAGATGGAGATTTGTTCCCATACGTGGATGGAAGCAAGGCACATGAACTGCTTGATAAGAAAAGGGCTTCTCGTTTAATGCTCAAATGAAGTGTTTTTTGCTTCTCTGAACGTTGCTCTGAGGCTCTCGATGCTTTGCCTGACAGTATCTTCAAGGGAGAAGGAAGAGTAGAACAGGAAAGAATGGTCGGAAATACTGTTCTTTTGTGTTCTATCTTTACCTCTTCCACTTTTTTATATTGGTTGAGATAGGAAATAAAGTAACTAGAAGAGATTAGAGAATCAAATAAGAGAATCAGTTTGGGAGACTGGTTTTGATATCTCCCAGCTCTCTGCTTTTTATGAGTTGTAAGTTTGGGGGTAGCCTTTCAATTTTAATGCCAAACTAGAGGACTAGCCAAGTTCTAGCTTTCCTGCTCTTGTTTATTCAAACTTTCAAACTTGCATAAAATAGAAGAGTATGCAGAGAGACAAAATATGCATATTGAGTATATGGAGAAGGACACAGAGGGTAAGTGAAACAGACATGCCAAAATACAGGATTCACTGTCTATGACTTTATGTTTCCAGGGGAGTCGTCTGGATGAACAAAGATGTTCCCTTCCAGCTCCTCTCAAGGTCAGGTCAAGTCGTTGTTGCCTCTTAAATTGCTGAGAATGGCAGATAATTACTGACCTGGCTTGTAGTTAATTTTCATCTTAGAATACCTTTTTTCTTTTCTTTTTTTTTCCTAGTTGCTGCACAAAAGGGTGAAACTATGTAGCTGAAATAGAATTAACACTTTCTTTTTTCTAATTTAATGGTTCTAATAAGTGTTTATTATTATTGGCAGTCTTAGTTTTGCCTAAGTAATTTCTTAAATTTAGTCAATATAAGAGCTATAATAATATCCATGAAACCAGATTGCATTTATTTCAGTAGTCTGCTTGAGCACTCATAGCAATACTCCTAGAAAGCTGTTCAGTTTCGCTCAGTATTTGGCCAATAAGAACAGATTCTCATCTTAAAATCCTCAGCTCTTCCTCTCCATTTCTTCAGTCTCAGCTCTGGCTCAGTAACCTTAAAATCAAATTTGACCTTGATTTTAGTCTTGGAATAACCTTTAAAAAAAGCCACATAGAGAATTGATACAGCTCAGTTCTGACAGAGATAGTGGTCTTCATGGTGATGGAAGGGGCATCCAACTGACATAAAGTGGTTCAGATACTGCTCCTGTTCCCTCAGTCATGCTTCAGCACTTGTGGTTGTATACCACAGATCTAGCCATGGAGTTGGCAAAACCTCAGTCTCACTGTAAATAATAGTACTATTTCTACTATTCCTGCTGTCATCTCTGTCTGCAGAAGAACAGTAGCTGTCTAACACTGTGTGGAAGGAAAGGATAGAAGCTAACTCCTCTAACCACATTGAATTTGCCTGTAGTTTGGCTTCCTCCACATTTTGCATGCCTATATTCTGTGGTTTCAAGGAGGAAGATGGGTAAAATCTTGACTCCCGAATTTATTGTTCTCAAAGTTCTACATTACAATGCTGGGACCTTGGAAATGGAGTCTAACCTTTAATCCTGAAGTGAAACTCTAAAGATGACCTAGGGCAGAATGGAAACTGAGGGCATAGCTTTCACCATCACAAGAGCATAACACTTTAAAAGATGTCACATGGTTTTGCTAATGGTCTCTTCTGATTTCAGACAGAAGAGGAGTATATTCCTTACCCTAGCATCCATGAGGTGAGGTAGTACTACTCTCCTCTGTTTTATCTTGGACATTATTGGTTTTTCAGCTTATTCGCTTCCAGCTTATTGGCATGTCAGTTTTGATGCTCTCTGTCCTTCTGAATAGGTATTACAAAAGGGGTGGCCATATCCTCTCATTATCTTACCCCAGTTTGGGGGCTACTGGATTGAAGGGACCAGCCACAACGTCTCCAGCTTGAGTCCAACTCTGTCTGATGTACCCTTTCCCTGGAGTGGTAAAGTGAAACTGGAAAGTGACCCTACAGCCAAGCTGTACCGCAAACATTTTCTGGGAAAGGTAAGGATGACCTTCAGAGCCTTCTTTTCAGCCTCAAGACTGAAATGTTTCTCAGGCTTTTTCTGATGGACTTAGAAATGACTGCAGAGCTGCTCCATTTCAATTCCTTATGATGTCTTGAATTAATGTAAATAAGGTCCATACTGTGGTATGGCCTGTAGTGGGTTAAGTTGGTTCTGTCCCCTTGTGAAATGTGGAAATATGCATCATCCTGTGCATTAATAGAGGAGAAAGATTTGCACAGGAAATTATAATAGTTGGTTAAGAAGCTATTTTGAGGCTCCTGTACAGATACCAACCTTGGGATGACAAGGGGGAAAAAGTGTAATAAAATTGGAAATGGAGATGGTATTATTTTAGAGGGGACTTCACCACTTACAGTGCAAGCCTCTCAGTAAAATGGTCTGTTTTCCTCAGTGTATGGTCATTGCAGAATGTATATGATGAAACTGGAATGTGTGTTTTCTAGTTGTTGATTTAAGTGAGCTTGATGCTAAATGCTCCTTGACTTCGAAAAATCCAATTTGACACACAGAGAAACAAAGCTTGGCCTTATAAAGTGTATGTTTGCTGGCTGGCCATTAAGGTTCATCTGATTTGGCCTACTTAGTGAGTTGGTTGATTACCACACTGGATCTAAGGATGATATTAGCCATCAAGAACAAGTGAGAACAACCTGTGATCTCTTCTGAGATTCAGTTCATGGTATAAGGAGATAAGAAAGCCTGACAGGTGTACTCATGCTGCTTATGCAGTGATCTCCCTCAATGACTGCTCAGTAAGTTCAAAAACAGGAATAGGTGGAGTTTTGAGGAGGTCCCCAGCACTAGTTGTGCTTGTTTGAATGATGTTGTGTGGTATGCAACACTGAAAACTGATATTAATATAATTTATAAGTAATTAGGAAAAAAAAGCCTTCCTGGAGGCTTACTTTCAAGACTGGCAGATCTGCTGTGCAATCTGTTAATGGACATTTATCCTGCAACTTTCTGAAAGCTTTCATTATGCCAACTGTAATTATTTTTATGTCATGTTAAATTTGGGATTTTGCTTGAAGGCTTCCAGAGGCAGATAGCATGAGAGGCAAATTGGGATATTATTTTTTTCAGTCTGATTGTAGAATTCACTCCTGACCTGATATCACAAAACAGTTGAGGTTGGAAGGGTCCTCTGGAGCTCATCTTGTCCATACTCCTGCTCAAACAGGGCCATATCATCGTTATTCCTTCCAAGTGAGATCCAGGATTTTGCATTTGCAAAAATCTTCCAGTATGAGATCAGACTTTGCATTTGCAGAGTGCCCAACCATCAGTGCCTCAGTACTACAGAAAATCTCTTCTTTCCTATATAATTCCTTTTCTAGTGTCCAGTGTTTTATTCTTTGCCTTTATTGATATGAATGTGTGTCTGTGTTCAGTTAAACATGCAAGTTTTTGAGCAAGCCAGTCTCAGAAAAGAACAGGGTGAACAGGACTCTTGTCACAGAAAACTCAACCTAAGAGAAAACTTTACCTAATGGTTTAAAGGCTTAGGTAAGGAGGGAGCTCAGAGCTTTTTGTCTAGATGACTATGTCTTCGGTGCAAAGTTTGTGATACTAATGATTTTGATTCTGTGTGGATTGAGTCCTTTTCTTGCTGAGTACATGGGAGGGTTATTTCAGCAATGTCAAGAAAGTTCTCTTTCAAGCTTTGAATAATGGCAAACAGTTCTTAGCTGAAGAAGAGTTCAAAAGCATCATGTGGTGGGAGAGGCAGAGCCAAATGGTTTGGGGAGTATCCTTTAAAAAAGGTGGGAAATTAGAGCATTGTGTGTGGTATTACAAACTTTATATGCATGTCTGTGTTATGCATGGGTGTGCATATACAAGTCACTCAGACAATTCTTTTGACTCTTTTTGCAGAGCGTTTTGTAGCAGACCCTCTAAAACAACCTTCAAAAAAAGCGGTAGGACACACAAGCCATAGCTCAGTTCCTTTTCTTTGCATAATGCTCTGTATTTTATATGATGAAAAAAACCTTATGTCTTATACTGTAAAACCTTATGTCTTATACTTTGGGAATAATTCCATGTCTACTTTGTTTTTCAAAGCTATAGTAAAGAGAAGTAGCCTGAAGCCAGGAAGGATTTAATAAAGAGAGACATTGGAACTGCCAGTCAAAGAAACTTAAGGTGCAGTTTCACAAGCACTTGAGGCTGGCATTGCTGATGAGAGAAGCTTTCATATGTGATCATGTATTTCTTCATTACGTTGTCCTTTCTTTGTGCTGGTTAAAGTACTGTTGCTGCAGATGGCAGATGTCCTAATAGCTTTATAACTTCTGAGACAAACTGTCAGTTAGTCTTTTCCCTTGGACCCACGGAAGATACCTAATTCTTTTCTCAGAGGTCTGTTTGAAATCCAAACCTTCCTTTCAAACTACATTAAATGTTACAGAAACCGCTTCTATGGCTGAACAAATTTGTACCTATCTATAGGTCATCTCAGCTCCAGGGTATCTTGTCACCACTGAGAATCTTCAGTATTAACTATAAAGTCTTTTGATGGTTCATCTCTTAGTATCAGGACAGCTAACGATAAATGCTGTTGTCCATTGAAGGTCTCTGAGTCTGCCTTCTGTTGCCTGTGTTTTTACAGAGAAAGAAAATCACAGAGGAAAAAGAAAACTGTAGTGAGGACGTTACAGGTTTATAAATACATGTAATTACTCAGGTCTCAGTTTAAAACCCAGGCTTACATTCAGGATCAAGCTACACAGCCAGAGTAGCTTTGAAAAAAATTCAGTTATTTTAAGACTTCCACTAATTCTAGTGCCCATTCCCCTGTGAAGATTGCAACTTTTTATGCAGCTCTGCCCAGTTACGTTGCCTGCAGAGCTGATAGCCCGGTCTCCAAAACAACTGAGATCTCAAAGTGTCAAATCTGCCAGGGTCTGGCTTAGAAGTCTCACTAAAAGGCGTCTTGATTTCTGGTCTTCACAGCTCAGTGTTACTTTTGGCCGCAGCTAACCTCAGGTTTTGGCTCCTTGTCTTTTGCTCTGCCTTCTAGTCCTGACTTTTGTTGTCATTGTGCCATATTTTTCCTTAACAGCCTGTCTTGGCCATCCACCTTAGCATATGACTTCATTTATGGGTTTTGATTCTAGACTTCAGCTGAACCTGCTGAACATGACCACTGAACATGCTCTTGTTTTGCTCCTTGAATCTGTCTATTGCTCAGCTACTCTGTCCTTCTGTCCTTGGTCACAGTGACTACCACACCTGATTCTTATTCACATCCCAAAAATCTATTAGTGTCCTGAAAGTCAAGATGAGAAGAAATAAACTGTCCTTTGTGGCTTCCTTTGATCTCACCTTTTCTTTCCATGGACAGGTAAGTTCAGCCACTGTCACTGACTCGCGTGACAGATCACACAAGTCAATTTATGGGATTTGAACAGTGCAGCTAGAGGCCATATTACTCTGCCTCTTTGCTGCTCTTTACTCACATTTTAACTTTTTCAGACTCTCTCGTTTGATCAGCTGTGAAACCTTTTGTCCATCAGTCAGTAGCAGGGCAGTTCTGGATGTTGGCTTTTTCCCGTCTCAGAAAAGAAATGAGGACAATGATATCTTTAATAATTAAAGAAGTTGAATAGTTTCATCTTCACATTGAGGTTCAGGGTAGTGACTGTAGTCTTGCTTATTCCTTTTTTTGTTTCAAAGAGAGAATCGGTTCATGTCTGCTAACTTCTAGTTGGCTGCATCTACTTAGATACCAGAGTATGTCAGGAGAAGTATCTTTTATTTCACAGTGAGTCAGAGCTATGACTAATACAAAAAATTGTGTAGACAGCAAAAGGCAGTTTCACCAGTGTATTGAGAGAGGTCTGCAAGCCAGAACAGACCTTCTGTATTTTCTAGACAAAAGGCTGAGGAAAGAACTGGCAGATTAGCAACCATTTTGGATCAAATTACTTTTTGCTCCCATTGAGTTCTTACTAATCTATTGAGTCTGGAGTAATCCTTTCACAGAACACATTTCAAATTGTGCAAGCTTTGACTGTGCAACTGAATACAACTTACTGTCTCACTTTTCTGTTATGCGTGAGGATAATGCTCATATGCTTTCATACAGTGCTTCCTGTGATGCTCCCTCTGAGTTTTGCAGTCCTGGTTTCTGACTTCATTCTCCCTGGCCGTCTTGTCAGGTTGACTCTGATTCTTGATGGCTGGTGGTAGAACAGCCCATTTGCATGGTAGAAGTGTTTTATCTCTCTCCTCTACTGAATTTGACCATGACAAACACTTTGCAGTTAGGCTGAGAAGATCACTTCTACAAACCAAACAGCATAAAGCCACCGGTATACATGAGGACAGAATCTGTACACACTGAAACATGTGCAGAATACTTTAATTATATCTTTCAAGTAAGTTGGTGATGAGTAACACCATCATTAGAAAACACATCAACAAACAAGACAGTAGTTGGTGAGTCTTCTCTGTGAAACTGTTGACAAGTGGAATTTGGGAATCAAGCTCCCCCCTGAATTCAGTGTGTATATTTTATGTTCTGGGAGTATCTGACTTCACAGTAAGTAGATAGAGCTTCTTTTTTCCTACAGAAACACGAAAGGGAAATCTATCTAGATATCTTGAGGTACATCGTCTGGGATTTGGAAAATCCCAGGATTTGTCTATAAAAGATACTAAAAGAAAGCCTTCATTTTTCTCCTGTTCTGTAAACTGTTCTGTACTGCAGGTCTCTGTGGGCACATTCTTGATCTACTGTCAGCAGATTGCTGTATGACTTTCTTCTGATTTTCATGGTCCCAAGGCATAAGAAGGCACTGATAATTCTGCCTGCTATAGGGTAGCTGAGATGATAATGGTTTTGTGAGTCTTTGTTTTGTTTTATTTATATTACTTTGCTTTGCTGAGGAGCCTGACCTCAACTTTCATCATTGCTAGCTCAGAAGTACCATACCAATCTCACTGTACTCCTCTGGGTTGGAGGCTAAATACTGAAATGTACTACTGCCACTTTCAACGGAAGTTCTCATTATCAGCAAAAGATTAAGATACTAATCTAATCCAAAGAGAACCAAATCCCCTGCATGACGTTTTCATTGGTCTCTCTGTGCTTATACCTAAAATTCATTAAGTTTGGACAGTTTGCTGAAAGCATAAACTCAGTCTCGGTGCTTCG